TATCTCGCTTTATCCGAGATAGGCGCTTTAAGTTTCTAGATCTCCTCGCGGATCGACGAAGCTCTGCCCAATTTTTCAGCAATCAAATCTGATCGACGGTGGTCCACGGATAAACCCTGGCACAGGCAAAGACACCCACGCAAGCAGAAGACCGATAAACGATCTCTGCGTTTGTTTGATAAAGTTGTAAACTTTTTATTTTCATTGTGTAAGGAGATCTTATAAAAAGATCGACTTTTTATTTTATTCGAGTTTATTGTAACGACTAAAATTGTAATAGATTCGATAACAATGGAAACATCAACTTTCACCGCAAACAGACACTTGTACACCGAGAGAAGTGTGTGGCGAGAGTCGGGGATCATCCCATGAGGAGTGACATCAGTTGACGAACCTAGGGAGAGGTTGTAACCGAGCACTTGAGGGAGACACGTCTAGTTCAACACTTGAGAGGGTGTAGAGTGGGATTGCAAGAGTGTGTAAGTTGTAGAGTTTTCGGTAAACTAGAAAACCGTATTATGAGGTGTAAACGTTGTTCGGGTAAACGTAAAAAACCCGGTTGTGATAGTGGAGATCTCCTCGAGGTGAAGAGCGGAGATGTAGTTCGTGGAGACCGAACTCCGTAATTATATCGTTTGTTTGTGATTGCATTGGCGCAATTATTTTTATGTTCATATGTTATATCGCCTTTGTATATTGCTTGTTGATTATATTGCCCACTATCTAGTTTAGATTGTTTACCCTTGTGATTATATATCCTTGCTCATATATTTGTAATATCTCATTGCTAGGATATATTTATTTGTTCATATTGCTTATTCTTGTTTGTAACATATTGTATATCTATCTTGCAAGAATAATTTATTAATTAGTTTTTAATTGGTATAAAATCGGATTAGATTAGTATAAGACCCTAATCATCCCCCACCCTCTAGGGTCTACCAGTGTATTGCAGTGGGTTTTAGTCCCACATTGGTTGTGAGAACACACCTCACCCTCCTCTACTTGTATAAATATATGTATACACTCAATATTCAACTCAAGGGAAATTTACTCAAGACGCTCTCTCTCTTACTTTAACATAAAATGTTAAAGGACCTGTCATGTAAAAAAAAGGTTTCTACTCATCATTCTTAAATCAGCTAGCACCATCTTAAACTAACCTGACTTCTCCCTATTGGTTAACAATTAATCGATAATTAATTAAATAATAATAGTATTCTAGCTCATGTCTGTAAGATAAGAACCTTAAGAGATCGATGCATTTTGATCTTCACAAGTAATAGAGATTTAATATTTAAATTAATTACAAATAGATTTTCGTAAAAAAAATTATGTGTTAATGCCACTGTTTAATTTATTTTTGTTAATACTTATCATCTTACAATGAATTTTGTTAATTTTAATTATAATCATCTAATACTGAATTAAATATTATATTTTACTTTAAATATTTACGTATACGTTTTTGTTCAAGATGAGTCAATACGTTCTCGGACAAGCAAATTGCTAACGTACATCAGTTTTCCCCCGAAAAATATATTAATTATCTCGCCGTAACGAGGGGATATATGTCTGTTGTTGACAAAAGATCACAATTTGGCGAATGAGAACACAATAACAGGTATTATCTTGGAACACCGGTCAGACCATTGATAACTATGATCCGATTCATTTCTTTATATTTGTTATTAACCCAAATTAAAGGGCAGGGTGGAGTTTCGCTTAGAAATGAGAACCACGTTCTCGTAATGTGTCTTTTCACTTGAGGGCATCTTTGGGTTTTATCGATCGAGTTGAATCCAAATCGATTAGATCATCCACTAGCTGGATCCACAAACTTAATTAGATGTGCATCTGAAAAACACAGCAACATTACGCAACGTAATATAAATTAAGACTAAATTAACTTCATTAAACAGCCGCGTATACATTCCACTAGTAAATTAAGTTCTAAAGAAGACAAGCTAGGTCAGTGCAGATGAAAACTAAAACAAACACAACAGTAAACTAATTAGCCTATTACGACCATCTAATTACGTAGAACTCTTAACAGGAGTAGTACTATAGCTAGTGCTGTAAGATATCCCACACTCTACCCGGCCCCCTACTAGCTATGAGCTATTACAACACTAAACTAAGCCTATTACAC